AGACAGAGGAGTGCTCAGCACCGCCCGCGGAGGGCCTGGCAGGCGGAAGCCACCTCCCTCTCTGGCTCTCCATCACCGACAGGGACCCCCTTCCCAGTCCCTGGCTGTTGCTCCCACAGGAAGGGCTGGAGGCAGGGTGTCTCCTGGGGCGCCCACCGACCGGCTCTCAGAGGCAGGCAGGCAGGTGCCCCTGGCCCACCTTCGTTCTGGTTCTGCAGGTCTGGAAGACCGGATTTCAGAAGCACCCTCTCCAGGGACCCCAGAACTGGGTGGTGCTGGGTGGGTGGGGGTGGGTGAGAGGATCCCTCAGAGACATGGTAACTTAGGTAGCTTGGTGGATCTGGGGGACACGCCCCCACCCTAGGGTGCCCTGCGCCAGGCCGCCCGCCACCCCCATCCTGCAGTGTCTCTTGCAGGGGTGCAGCAGCTGTCCCCCTTGCACTGGTTTGGACTCACAGCCCACCGAGGCCTCGGGGAGGCACTGGGGGGGGGGTAGTCTGGAGGGGGTTTGGAAGGAGGGAGGGCTCCCTGAGTGGCACAGGTGAGGAGGAGGCAGGGGCAGGCGGGGAAAGCAGGACCCTCCGGAACAGCTCCCTGAGGCTGGAGGGGAGCTCCGTGGGCAGCACCTCCCTGGCTTGGTCGTGTGTTCTAGAAAGTGTGAGAGGAATCCAGTCCAGCCACTTGGGGCTTTGGGAACAATTGAGGGGGGGGATGCCAGGGAGGGGGGAGCGGAACACAGTGCGTGTTTGCATGACCTTGGTGTGAGGACGCCACAGGGACCCCCCTTTGCAGTCTGCCATCTGGAAAGGGCAGGCCTGGCTCTGCCGGGGCCACAGGGCGGGTCTGGGAGGAAGCAGGGGAGACGGGGCTCCCGCCTCCCTCCAGGGAGAGCGCTCTGGACCCTGCCACCCCTCACCGGGCCGCGGGGCCTGGAGCCAAGGGAGGGGGACTGTACACAAAGATGGGGTGGTGTCCCCCCTGCCCCCGCCCCGGCTGTGGTCTGGCAGGTGTGGGCTCCTCACACGCCCCTCCCCTCCCCCTCGCAGCCCTCTGGCTCAGCACTGCGAGGGCAGGGGTCTCAGTGGGGTTCCCGAGGCTTGCACAGCTTGATCTCCCCGCCCCTCCCCTGTGTAGTCTAATCTGCTTGCTGCCCACGTTTTCCTGAGTCCCACGCCTATGCTGGCCCCGGTGGTGAGGGACAATGGCACAGGCAAGGCCGAGCAGTGGCTGCCCCCGCCCTAGGGCTATGTGAAGAGCAGCAGGCCCTCTCTGTCCCCCCTTCCCTCCCAATCCCTGCCCCTCTCCCTGCCTGCCCTGCCCCTGGGTTCCCTGTGCTGGGCAAGGCAGGCTTTGAGTTCTCCCCCTCCTCCCCCCGGCTCTGAGCACCCCCAGGCCACCATGGTCCCCCCATCCCGGTTCCCAGGCCAGACAAGTTCAGCCCTGCAGCCCTCCCCCCTCCCTCCCAGCTTCCTGTCCCGCCTCCGCCCCGCAGTGCGGGGCCCTGCAGTCCCCACCCCCACAGACCTGCACGGTCCCCCCTGGAGTCCCGCCCCCGCAGCCTCTGCTGCCGGCCCGGCAGGTGCGTCAGCAACTGGGCCGCTCGCACTTCATTTATTCAATAGCTCGGGGCCTGAAAAACAGCCGCTAAATTGCCTCCCATTTTCCCCAAGCCCATTAGCAACCACCGGCCGAGTTCCTGGTAATTCCGCTGAATACCCTGCCGGCGGGAGGGCCTCCGCCTCCACCTGCCCCTTCTTCTCAGAAAAGCACGACTTCCCCTGATTGTGAGGCCCAGGCGCCTGGACCGGGGCCGGCCTGCCCCCTGCCCACTCGGGCCTGCTCCTGCCTGTGCTTGCTTTCAGTTGCTCACCCCTCTGCTCTCTCCCACCCCCCAACCCCCCCAAAAAACAAAAAAAACAAAAACAAAAAAAACAAAAAACCAACCCTCCTCCCTGGGTCCCCAAGGGGTCTCTCTTCCAGGGGCACCCAAGGCCTGACCAGGGGTCACCCTGGTCAGTGGTAACAGCAGCCGGCACCTTCCTTTCTGGAGGGTTTGCCAGGTGGCACTGTGGGCCCCCCCCCTCCTTACACTAATGTACCCCCTCTGCCTTCCCTTGACCCCAAGTTGGAGTACCTCCGGCCCCAGGACCTGACTCCTTTTCAGCTGAAACGGGAAAGGTAGTGTTAGAAGCTGCAGGGCGGGCTGCTCAGCAGGTAGCGCCTAGAGGGCCCTGTGGTGAGCATCCTTGAGGGCCCGGCGCATTCACCATGGGTTCATCCTGGGGGCAGAGGTGGCCTGTGGGCCTGCGGATGGGCGCCCAGCGGCCGTGCCCTGACCGGGCCTCCTGGGGCCTAGCTCCTCTGTGTCCCTCCTGACCTGGCGGGCTGCTGGGGGGAGACCAGGCACAGCTGGGTGTCTGTCCCGAGTGCGGGTGGGTGGCAGCTGAATGCATGGACTCTCCCGTCCACACGTGTGACCATGGTCTGGTCAAAGGTAACTACGTGCCAAGGAGTGTGGTCTCCTGCAGCCGGGCAAGGGGTGGGGGGCACAGGGCTGCCGGTTCAGGCTGGGGTGCTCTCTGAGGACCACACGGTACTTACTCTGCACACGTGAGGCAGGGAAGCTGGGTGCCAAGGCCGTGGGGCATTGAGGGACCGATGAAGTAGCCCCGTGGGAAGGTGTCTGCACCGTCTCTTTGCCCCCAGTCCCGGGAAAAGGCAGCCTTAGTACAACCCAGGGCACCCCCACCACCCTCACCGCCCCAGTGTGCTGTGCAGCCACCCGCGCCCTCCCTCCTGGACTGGCCGCAGGAGAATGTGGGCGCCAGGAAAATGTCAGCGCCGTGAGGGAGATGCCCAATGAAAGATGACAACAGCAGCCTGAACCAACTCAGCCAGGGCCCCACTTCCCGGGTCCGAGAAGCCCCTAAGGCCCCTGATTGCCCACAGCCCCTCTGAGGGCTCTCCTCACATCATCCTCCCTCTGTGGGGGAGAGGCTGGGGGAAAAGAAAGGACATGGGACTTCAGGGTCACACTAACTGATTCAGTCGCACCCATTTTACAGATGGGAACACTGAGTCCCTGTGTAGGCAAGTGGCTTCCCAGGGCTGACTCGGAGCCAGGATCCTGACTAAGCCTGTGCCCAGGTCTGTGCTGTTCACCAGGACCCTCTCTGGTTGGTCTGAAGGCCGCACCCTGCCCCTGCCTGGCACACAGGAGGAGCAGAGTCAGAGAGGGTGGCTGTTGTGTGACTATCAGGAGGTGGCCTAGCTCCAGGGGGACTGTGACGAGGGAGGAGGGACAGGATGGGGCCCTGGTAGGAAAAGGACCCGCCCTTCCTCCCTTTGCCCCTACCCCCTAACCCAGCCCCTCAGCACCCTTTTTGGGGGTGAGAACGAGTGATGGGCTTTTGGGGGAGCCAAGATGGCCTGAGGGACTGGGAAGGTGGCTGGGCCTTAGGGACCGCCCTGTCCACATCCCTACAACCCCCACACGAGGGGACATGAGCAAGCCACAGACCCCCACACTCACAGGACTACCTACACGTGCAGCTTTCGCCCAGACGTGGAGCCAAGGGGAGATGGGGGCGCGGAGGCCCCATAAATCCCCACCTCAGGGGCCTCAGCACCCGCTGTGACCTCCAGAGCTGTGTGTGGGGTCTGGAGACAGCTCTGAGCATGATGGCTCTGCTCCCCCTGGTTGTGTCTTGGGGTGCCTTCACAAGTGAGGGGCAGACCGGGAGGGCACAGCCCCTGGGCGCTGGGGCTAGCAGGGAGGGGCGGTCCGGGGCCAGAGTGAGTCAGGCTGCAGATGTGCTGTGACTTAGGGATCTGGGGGGACCCTTCCCATCCACGGACCATCATGAGGGAGCCCCCAGTTTAATGGGCACCCACCCAGTTCACGTTGCCCCCCCCCCACACACACACACACACACAAACCGGGTGGATGGGAGAGTGTCCGTTGGTGGGGAGTAAACCGAGGCCGGTGCTGGTGAGTGACAGAGGCTGGACTGGAACCCAAGACCTCCTCACTCGGAGCCCACACACTCAGACCCCATCCTTCTAGGTTTTATATTTTTACCAAAGCATCCCGACAACATCCCCCCGCCCCTCCCCCCGGCATACACGCCAGCTTGGCTTGGAATGGCACCTCATGCCCCGCCCCAGACTCAGTCACTTTCCCGGGGTTTTCCAGGTAGAGTTGGCCCAACCAGGGGTCCCCGGATAAGAGGTGGCACTGCGTGGGGCGTGGCCGGAGGTTTGAGGGTCAAGCCAGCAGCTGGGCTCACCCGAGGGTCTGTGATGGGGGCCCTGACCCCATGGACGGACAGGACCAAGGAGGGCTTCTCTGGGCCTCAGTGTCCCGCCCTGCCCGAAGGGGACCGTCCACGTGAGGACCGTGGGGGCTGCAGGGGAGATTGGGGAAGGCGCCCCCCACCCAGAACCCTCGGTAAGATGGTGGCTGCATGCCTGCCTGCCTTTGCCTTTGCCGCAGAGCCGGGGGGCCGTGGAGCTGCGTCCCCCGCACCCCGCGCCCGCCCCAGACCCAGGCGGGGGCGAGCAGGAGAGGGGGGCAGCGCCGGGGAAAGCAGTGAGTCACCGAGGCCGGTGGCAGATTCCGTAGGTAATTATGTAATTTACAGCTCTCCTCGGGGCCTCTGAGTCAGCCGGCTGCGTCAGGCGGCTGTGCAGCCTGCGTCGTGACCAGCGGAGGCTGGCAGAGCCTGGCGTGGGCACCGGCTCTGACCCTGGGCCTGGGGGGAGGCGTGACGCCAGCGGCCGGGGGGTGGGGTGGGGGGGGAAGGGAGTCATCTCAGACCTCAGACCGCCAGGAAGCTTGTCTTTTTATGGCCCTGGCTTCCACCTGGGGGTGGGGGCTCCCGGGCGGGGGGGGGGGGGGGGGGAGAGAGAGCCCCTCCTGAACGCCTGGCACCTTTGTCAGTCCGCTCCCACTAAAGCCATCCCAGAACAGAGACATTCGAAGCGACTGCGTCCTTTTCTCCTGTGCGTTTATTGTTCAAACAGGCAGACAACAATCCAGGGGGCTGAAAAGGGGGGGCAGGACCCCTCGGTCCTTCCCGGGGGGCGGGGCCGCCGGCTCTTTCATTGGAGTTTGTCATGCAGGACGCCTCCCCGCCCCCCGGGTCCTCCCAGGCCCACAGGCCTCCCCAGGCCACAGAGAAGTCCAGCTTGCCCCACACAGGGGGACGGAGGGGGCGGCCCGGGCGCTGTCAGTCCTTGAAGCAGGGGCCGTGGGGGTGGCAGTGGGGGCTCTGTCTTCCCGGTGAGGCGGGAGGGGGCGCTGGTCTGGCAGCTGTGTTGTCCCCGGGGTCTGGGTGCCCTCGGCCACCTCCAGGAGCAGGGCCAGGGCGGAGTCCGATGGAGCAGGAGCAAGAGGAGAGGGCTCGGAGCACGCAGGGCCCTGGGAGGGAGGCAAGACAGAGGCGTGTCAGAGGACCCTGTGCTTCCTGGGGTCCCACAGCAGCACCCCACCTTTCTTATCTCGGGGCCCAAAGCGACATGGGCAAGCCCCCTACTTCCCTCAGCCTCAGTTTCCTCACCGGGCACCCACCTTCCTGGACAGAAAGTCGATGGAGACACAGGGCCCTCGGGGGTCTCAGGCAGAGACCTCCCCTCTTTTCCTCCCTTCCCTTCCTATGTCCTCTCCCCCCTTCCCCAACCCCGCCCCTCTCAGACCCCACCCCATCCCACGTTTCCTGGCTGAAACCTGCCACAGACACCATCGCACCCGGAAAGAGATAAATAAATAAAAAGAAAAACAAGCTCAACTGCGAAAAGCAGTCCAAATCGGAAAATGTTCCGGCCCGAGTTAATTGCACTTTAAATTGGCGTGTTTACTATCGGGGATTTCAAGTTCACAGAGACACTCCGCGCGCCCCCCCCCCCCCCCAACTGTGAGTACAGTAACGCTCCGTGGCGCCCCTGCCAACAGCGTGCGGAGCAGAAGCATCCGTTTGGAGCGTTCGAGAAGCGGCGCTCTCACAGGTGGCGAGGTGCACCCTGGACTGTGTCCCACCCCCGGGCTCCGTGCCCCCCTGGGCGGTGCCCCGCCCCAGGGAGGCCATGGGGGGCGGGCATGGAGCTCTGGGCTGGGACAAGAGGCCCCGTTTCGGTCCGTCATTCACTCCACAAACCCTGTGCGGGGTCCAGCGTCCGCAGGTGGCATGGGCCCTGAGAACAGGGTTGGGTCTCCCTAGAGCCTGCGTGCCCGGGGCCAATCCCCCTCCGCTCCAGGCCCCCTGGGAAGAGCCTCGGGGGGTCCTCCTGGCAGGCACTTACCAGGCCAGAGGAGGAGCCCGGATCTCTCCAGGCGGGTGTGGTCTGGTCCGGCTGTTGGCTCGTGGCTGGGATCCACCGAAGGCCCCACCCATGGGATGTCCCGGCCACGTGTCGGGCCCAGGGTGCCTGCGGAGGGAAGATAAGGCCATGAGCGTGGCGCGGCACCTCCCTGGGCTGGCTAAGCTTCCGTCCGGGCACGGGGGCCCCAAAGGTGACCCAGCCAGAAACAGCCCCTCCCCTTAGGGCCCGGAGCCCAGCAGGGAAAGAGACCCCTGTGGTCGCAGGGTCATGGGGCTGATGCATCTGACCGCAGATTGAGGCTATGGATGTGCGCTGGAGTGGCCCAGGAAGGCTTCCTGTAGGAGGCGGCACTGGGGCAGAGTCTGGGAGGGTGATGAGGGAGGGGCGGTCCAGGCAGGGGTGCAGCGTGAACACAGGCATGGGGGAGGTGTGAAAGAACAAGCGAGGACACGAGGTGGGCTTTTAGATGCCTCACTCCCTCGGGATCACGCCATGTGTGTCCTGCAGCCACAATGGCACCAAAGTCCTGAGGGGCTCCTGTCCTCTCTGCCTCTCACACCGGGGCCTCAGGATGGACCTGCCATCTCAGCCAGGTGGTCTGCCCTTCCCCATGGTCCTCCCTCGACCCCCACCCGCACCCCCACCAGCCCTGCACTGTCTCCGTGATGGCTGGGCATGCGGGGGCCCCTCCCCATCGCCGGATAATGAGAAAATGATGAACGAGCCTCCATCACGCCCTTACTTCCTGGCCCTCGGGCCTGTCCACCGGTGACAAATGGCACCTCTCCCTCCACAGGGCCTTTCCTTGGCGGTGCTCGGTGGAGATTTATGTCCGTCTTCCCCGAATTCCTCTTCGTCTCCCCCTCCGAGAGCACACCTTTATTCATTCCTCCCACAAAGTCTCCTCCCAGGGCCTCCTGGTGAGAAAGAGACCGCATTCAGGACCCCCTCGCCTGCGAAGCACCTACTCTGCCTGGTGCCTGCGGCCAGCTTTGAGCCAGGTGTTCGCTGAGCTCCTACTATGAGCTGGCAGGACAGTCAAAGCCGTGGCTCCCAGAGGCTCCGGGGCAGGGTAGCAGTGAACACGCAGGCACTGAGGCCCACCTCCTGACCTTAGCCCCTGGGTGCTGAGCCGCCCGGTTTTTACGAGGAAGGAAAATGCCTATTTGCCGGCGGTGGGTGGGCCCGAGGCCGGAGTGGTGCGGTGCCCCAGAGGCGGCCCCCGTCACCCCCATTCCTGCAGCTGCGAGGAGACATTTCCCTGCGGCCGGCAGAGAAGCTAGGCCCTTTGTTTATTTCCTTTTATCCTCAGAACAGCAGATAAACCAGTAATTTGGCTTTTAATGAAATTCTGCGCCGAGCGGTATGGGGTCACCCGCTTTGGGTTTAAAATAAGTTGGGGACATGCACGCCGCCGTGCGCCGGGTCCCCAGGGGCTGACACCTGCCGCGTGCAGAAGCCCCAGGTGGGGGCTGATGTACCCAGCGCCCCGCCCGGGGGGCGGCCTGGGCGGCCCGGGGGGCACCGTGCCTTTCATTGCCGTGGCGTGGGCATGGTTACATCGGAGCCATTACATGCGGCCGGTGCTGCCTCCCACCTCGCCCCCCTCCCCATATACACATTTAATATATTCCAAAGATGTGTGGATGCATTAACGGCAATTTTCATCTCCAAATGTCCCCATTTAGTCAGTTCCATGCATAAAATATGAGCTCTGACACCGGGCTCCTGCCTGTTGCCGATGGAGCCCCCCAGAGTGCCGGCTCTGGGGCTGGAGGACCGGCTGGGATGTTTGGGGCTCCACTGGTGTCTGCTGGGTTCTACTGGAACTCACCGCTCCCCTGGGGACCCCCTGGGTGGCGGATCGATCACCTGACCGATCCCTGTGGTGGCCGACCTCGGGGTCTCCAGTGCCATCCTGAGAGGGGCAGAGAGAGGGGAAGACCAAACAGCTTTGAACAAACGAGGAGTTACTGAGAGCTGATTAGCATATTCATGAGCTCCTTGCCATACCTTCAGGCCTCCTCTGCCTCCTCTGAGCTGCTTGGGGCGCTTTCCCAGGGATGAACCTGAGCTCCTTGCTCAGGCAGCATCTGCTCACAGCTGCTCTACCCTGTGCCCCGGCTGTGCCCCCAACTTCCTGCCCTGAGACCTGGGAAGCCTTACAGTCTGGGGAAGGGGAGCTGGGGGGGAGCAGGCATGAGCACCTGGTAATCTGGGGGGGGCAGTAAGCTAGGGTAATGGCCAACCGGGGAGGGGGAGGGCGAGGTTGGGTGGTCAGGGACAGCTTGCCCAGCAGAGGACATTCCATTTCCTCCGGAGTCCAGAACCTCAGCTCTAGGAAGGGGCAGCCACCGGTGGGGGGATAAGAGGCAGGGCCGAGCCCTCACCGGGCTCAGCGGACAGAGCGTGCCTGCGGACTCAAGGGTCCCAGGTTCAGGGGAGGGTGGGGCTGCCCAGCGCAGGGACCTCCCCGACCCCCCGAGTACCCATGTCTGCAGCCAGGGGCGCTGGAACCACGGAGGCCGCTCTGTGGTGCTCTCGGAGACCCTCTGGACAGGATGGAGCTGGAAGAGGAACAGACTGGGGGCCCAGGTCCTAGGCCAGGGCCTCGGGACCCCGATGCACAGGCTGCGGCCGCCTGGGGTCAGCACCTGACGGGAAGGTCGTCCCCGGCGGGATTCGATACCGGAAAGAGGTTGACTGTATAATATTCATCGTAGAGAAAGTGAACACCTCACAGGCAACCTCCGTCAGGCACCACGGCGCGGGAGCACTCCCGATGGAGGCTTCTTCCTTGTGCGGCCGCCCCGCCCACCCCACGCCCCCCGCCATAGGATGGCCCGGTCCCACGGGATGCGGGTTGGCGCATGCTGGGCCCTCCTGGGCCGGTGGTCGTGCAGGAGGCATGCGAGGCGGGATGGACACCGAAGAGAGGTCAACCGTGTATTGTGCGTCAGGAAAAGCATGCGAACGCTCACGGCGACCTCTCCTCTGCGACCACATGATCATGACGGCACACTCAGCAGGCAGCCCCCGACCCTTCCCTGAGGGATCAGCCCGCCCGGGGGTCTCCGAGACACGGGGATGAGAGGTGCAGGCCATGCACACGAACCCCGCGGAGGGGCACCCCACAGCGGGGCGGACGCCCGCTCCAAAGGAGGGCCCTCGGAGGAGCCCGCCGCCAAGCGGCGCTGGCATGGCGCTGGCATGGCAACGGAGGCACGAGCACCACTCCTCACACAGGAAGCAAACGCTGCATGCCCGGGCTCCCCGGGGCACCCCTCCCGCCTGCCCCCCGAGGTCCGGGAGCCCCCATCAGCTCTCCCAGGGTGGATCCGGGGAGACACGTCAGCACGGATGAGACACGTCACACGTGGAGCCCATGCAGTCACGTACCCTGCAGGAGGCCAGCCTCGGGCCCTGCGGCCCTGCTCGCTCGCGGGTAGGCGGTACTGAAGATAGGCCATCTGCGTTATATTCGTCATTAATACAGCGAACGCATCACAGACAACCTCTCCTCAAGTACCCAGAGCGCTGACGCCAGCTTGGAGGCCTGGCCGCCGCAGCACCCGCCGCCAGTTGCCTCCGGGAGCCGCCCTGAGGGTGAATCAGAGGCCACAGGTGAGAGGAGACGGCGCGGGCAGCGCCCCCCCGCCCCCCACCCCTCCCAGCCCGCGACAGGGTCTCCCTCCCACCCTTGGGGCGGTGGCACGGAGGGCCCTCCCCACTCCTACCCCCACCGGGCTCCGTCTCCAACAGGTCCTCCGAGGTGCGATTTGATACTGAGGAAAGATCAACCATGTATTATTCGAAGCCAAGAAAGCGAATATAACACGGTCGATCTCCCCTGCAGGTACCAGCAGAGGCGCTGAGCGCGGGCCGCAGGTGGCAGTGGATACGGAAGGCTAGTGGACCAGGTGAAGTACATTAGAAACAATTACTTTCCAACTGGTCGACCACCCATCCGGTACCCCAGAGCAGCGGCGCCCGGTCCCGACGTCTCCTTCCCGGCGGCCTCTCCGGTGCAGTCTGGTACCGAAAACCGATTAACTGAGCAACGTTCATGGCCTGGATGCAAAGTTGCTCAGGTAACCTCTCCCCGAGTACCAAGGACACCCGGATGGGCAAGGCGGATTCTTCTAGAAGCCCCTCCCCACACGCCCTCCCCAAACACTGCGCATGGGACCTCGCGCGACAGGGACCCCCGCGCCCCGCCACCCTCTCCCCGGAGTAAGCCGCATCTAGGGACCCTTCCCGGAAGTGACTCGGGAGGTCCGGGCGGGATCCTATCCAGAGGGGGGTGCCCCAGAGGAATCCTGTGGATTCGCAGACGCCCCACAGGCCCTGCTGCCCAGCGTTCCTCCCCAAGGGCCATCTCAGTGGATCAGCCCCTGAGCACAGTCCACACGGAGGAAACGTTGCTTGTGCCCAGCTCTTCCCTCTGAGACCCCAGAGAGGGGTGACTCCAGGGCCCCCCACGGGCTCAGGGCCTCCCTCGGGAAGGTGTGGCCTTCGCAAAGAGCTCGGCGGGGTCTGAGGCCCGAGGCCGTGCCCACTGCGGTCCCACCAACACGCTGCCAGCCCCCGCAGGTGTCACCGCCACATGGAGGCCATGAGGGGATGTCACACCCATAGGACATGGCTGACCCTTTGGTCCGCTTCATAAACAAAGCCGGGGAAACAGCAAGAGCAAAGGGGGAGGAGGAGGAAGGGGAAGGCAAGAAGGGCAGATGACCGCTCTTCAAAAAAGTGCGAAAGCAGCCTCGACATCAGAACCCCACCGCACCCAGAGCCAGTGTCCCAGCCAGAAAGGGCACCAAATTACGACGCGGCCGCAGAGTCCGGGGCAGAGGGCGTGGCCACCAACAGGGTCTGGATCCTGTGCCCACCACCCCTGCATGCGAGCTGTGGAGTGACAGACAGCTCAGCAAGCCCCCCGCAGCCCGAGGCCCCACCCAAGAAGGAGCACTGCGGACGGCTGCCCCGGGGGAAGCGCTGACCTACCGGAGAGGGTCCCCGAGCTGACACGGTCTCCGGTGGCTCACGGACCAGGCCACACAGGTCATCGACACCCCAGCGCGTCCCAGGGCTGCACCCAAGCACCTGTTCTGGAGTGAGGTCGACCTGCTGACCACCTCCTGGGGAGGGCTCTGCAAGTTCTCCAAAGCGGATCTACAAAGAGACCCACATGCAATGTTCGTGCCAGGCAAGGACAAGCACGTCCCTCATGCCAGGAAGCACCCCGCCAGGAGCCCCCCTGGCCCCCCAACAAGCCTCGCTCGGCCTCTATAACAAGTGACAATCGGCACCAATGAAGGGCAGGTTCTTGGGGTTGGCATGACCCATGTAAGGTGCCAACACCGGTGGGGACACCTGGGGATGCCCAGCTCCCCGTGTGCTCAACCGCAGAATGAGAGACCGCACCCTTCAGGCTGAGACCCCACTGACCAAGGCCTTTCTGCCCCACTCGGAAGTCAGCATGGCACCCCAAACCCCACAAGGGACAGGGGGAGCAGACCAAGATGGAGCGTGCTTGCTTCAACACGCACCCCACTTCCCCCGGTGTCACTCCGAGGTCAGCACGTCTGTCCGGGGGGCGCTCCGGGAGGACCTGGGACAGAAGGAAAAGGTCAGCGGCATCAAGGACGCTGTGCTCTGACACCGAGCGTCTACTGACCGTCTGCTCCTCGCCCAACACCTCTGCATTTAACTGTCTTAATGAGATTTATGCCAACACTGATTTTCATACGAATGTGTTTTTTCAGAGCGAATTCCATTAAACTAATCCAATTCCCTGTTTCGTCTCCCTGGCTGTGCTACTGAGCTGTTTTCATTTCTTTTATTTCCCTTGTTATTTCCCCCAAATCATTTTCATTAGGATCAATTCTTTTCCATTTAAAAACCTGAATGCAGATTCGGAGCCTCCGTGTACTTTTGTCTACATCAAACCGCACCGTCCTGAGCTCCCGCCTGCGTCAATTTCCTCCCACAGCCGCCATGTCTGCCGCGTCCCATTCCCCCAGGTCAGATGTGCGGCTGACAGTTGTCAAGAAAATTGGATTCTTCTGCCAATTTGTAGCCAATTGAACATGTTTTACTTGGTGCCATTTCATTTGTTTTTAGTTTTATTTTGTGTTGATTATTTTTATCACTATAATTTGATACAAATGGGACGGAATACTGATAGCGTCTATTCATTTCATAACCCATGAGAAAATTGAGAATGCTGTTTGGCAGATGGAGAGAGAGAGAGAGGGAGGGAGGGAGGGAGAGAGAAAAAGAGAAAGAATATCAAGGCACCTCCTTGATATTCCCCCACCTCCTTGGCACCCTGAGGAGGAGGACACTGGGTGGGGCTGGGAGGCAGTAACATGTTGCTTAAATCTCACTGACCAGGCTGTTGGCTGGCCAGGGAGACAATTTCCCCGACGATCTCCCACTAATTCGGTAAGGTTACCGAATACACACGTGAGACTCCAAGGAAGGGAGGGCAGCCATGACCTAGAAACCGGGGTCTCCCCTCAACAGTGAGGCATTCGGGCCAGGGACACAAGTTCCACAGACAGCACTTAGCGCGGTGACAAGGCCGCTTCCTTACCCTGGGCGGGCGCGGCGGGAATGCTCCTGAACTTTCCCGAAGAAGATTTTAGTACTTAAAGGAGATTGGCCATGTAATACTCATCATGAATATAATGAACACATCATGGACAATCTCCATTCAAGTACCACACAAGGGTGCAGGCTTCGATGCAGCCCCGGCAACAGGCCCGAGGATGGATGCTGGTAACGCGCCGGCGGTCAAACACAAGCTTGGTGGCCCACCCCCTTTTTGTTAAGTCCCCACCGAGTGCCACCCAGGGTCCTTCCAAATGAGTACCCCCATCCAGGAAGCCATTTAGGGAGCAACACACTGCAACCAAGGTGTGCAGAGAATCACATGCCCCCCCCCCCCCTCCACACACACAGAGTGGCAGGATGCCCTCTTGTCAATCATGAAGTGGTTCTACAGTGAGACTCCCGCCCCCTTTGAGGGGACTGGCACCCTAGCAGTGGGCAACACACAGCTGAGGGGGCTCAGGGGACATCCACGGAGGACATGCACACGCTCAGCAGTGACCATGCATCCACACGCAGAAACCGAACGCTAGTTCCTGAGGCTGGCGTCTCCGGGATACAACGATGTCAGATGTGATACTTGAAAACAGGTCTACCATGTATGATTCAGCTACGATTACAGTGAATGCATCATGGAAGACCTCTCCTCAAGGACCACCAAGTCACTCTGGTGAGCAAAGCGCCTCTTCTTCCCCAGGTTGGCTCTGCGTCTGGGAAATCTTCCCACGGAGCAGGCAGAGAGCACCTGGGAAGTGCTACCCCAGAGAGAAGCCCACTCCCAGGTCCCGCCCTCCAGGGGGACTCTGCCCCAGGAAGCCCCCCAGCCAGGATTTGGTACTAAAGAATAGGTGACCCATGGAGGCTCTGTGACAAACAAAAGGAAGGCAACACACATACCCGTCTTGGCACACCGCCAGTTAGCCACGCCCAGGTGCCAATGCCCCTCCTCCGAAGCTGGGCTGCTCCAGGAAGTCCTGCCGAGGAGTGAATGAACACTGAGAATTAGTGGACTAAGAGATGGCTGTGTTCAATTGACCCATCCCAGACATCAACACGTGTGCTGTGCTTGGGGGGATATCTAAGAAGCACTCCCAGGGGGTCTTAAGGTAAAGAGGTCAAGTGCATACGAATGCATTATTCTGATCACAGGAGGAAACATTTCCCCCTCTCCCATTAGATCACAGTCGACAGCAGCGATCCTTTTCTCACACAAGATGTGTGTCCAGGAAACGCTCCAAAGATAGCGCTCATTGCAAAGAGGCTGACTTTATAATCCTAGCCATAGTGACAATGACAACATTGAATGCAAACATTATCATCCCATGGTGTGGTACTGACCTGAGAATGGTGGACTCATCTCCAAAGGTGTGCATAACTTCCAAGACATCGCCCTAAAAATAAATTGCGTACTTGGGGTTAATAGTCCAGTATACATATGGTCCAAAAAAAAAATTCTCCATTCCTAAAGGTAAATTCACATACCTAGCAAATGGTGCCGACTCCTTTTCCATCCCAGAAGTTGCCACTGCAAAGAGGATCCTGCCAAGGTGAAAGATGATCCTGGGGGGCAGACCATCTGAATAGGATTCATTTTAAATAGACAGATGTGGATTGCAAATGATAATAGAGAGGCTTCCAGATAAAGATGGCCGCTGTGTGAGGCCAGATCACAGATTCTTTCCTCTCCCGGGGTGTCATAATACATTAGCATTTAACTCAAGAAAAGACCAGCATGTAAACAGAAAAGTATTCATAGAAATAATAGAAGAAGATATCCTTGCAACAAAGGAACGACGAACTAATATGATTCAGAAAAACTGATAAATAAAAATTAGTGACTGAGTCAGATCCTGGTGAAGAGCTAAGAGAGAACTTTCTCCTCCACAATCACAGAGATATGATGGATAAAAGCCGAAGTGGACTGGTAAAATAAGAGCACAGCTGAGAGGAATAAAAGAGAGGAAAACTTTCAGCT